GGAGTTCTCTGCTCACCAATTTCCATGTGCAGATGGAGGAGCAAAGTGCTCTGGATTGACTGAAAGCAGAATTATTTTTTAATCAACCTCTTAAAACGTAGGGGAAGAAAAAGCAAGTACAGCCTGAGAATGGTGATGGTGAGGCCTCAGGGCACTGCTGCAGTGCCTGGCACAGGAGCTTTGGCTTTACTTTGCTTTCCAGCCTTCATGACAGTCCTCTGTCTGCTTGGGAGCTCTTTGGTGCTGTTTGGTTTGGGGTGGCACCCAATGGGTGTAGTTGTGCTATTTGGGAATCCTCAGGTAGCACTGGGGATGGGATTTTTATGTGAACCTCTTCCAGGTGTCAGAGATTTTAGGTAAAGGAGTGAAGAGCTGACTGAGAGGGATCTCATCAGTGTCCTTCAGTGCCTGCAGGAGGTGTCAGAGGATGGAGCAGGCTCTGCTCTGTGGTGCCCAGCAACAGGACAAGGGGCAATGAGCAGGAACTCTAATGCCCTAAAAGTTCCACCTGAACATGAGGAAGAAATTCTTTACACTGGAACAGGTTACCCAGGGAGGCTGTGGATTCTCCCTCACTGGAGATGCTCCAGAACTACCTGGAGCATCTCCAGTGCCCTGTGCTCTGGGCTAACCCTGCTTGAGCAGGGAGGTGAGCCCAGATGGGCCACTGTGATCCCTTCCAGCCTGACCCATTCTGTGCTGTAACTGTTGATTCCAACCACATTTTAAGCAACTGTTTCAAACAAAAACCACCTGAAAACATCACTCTGGGTGGATGTGACACAATGATTTAGCTTTTCCCATGGCTCACCTTTTGAGTCAGATGTGGTAGGGAGGAGTGAAGGGAGCAGAGCAGAGCCTGTTCTTTGTGCTTTGCATCAAACAGCTGTCAGACCTCAGTGCCTGTCTGAGAAATGAGGAACAAATGGCTGCTGCGGAAAAACTCTTCCTTATGGCCTGCATTAAGGCCTGGAGCTGGTAGGCTGAGGTGTTGTGAAAAGTGAGTAGGTAAGGGGTAGGAGGTACCTTACTTTAAACCAGCAATGATATATGTAGGTTGGTTATTCCAAGGGGAAATGAAAAGCAAAACTTCAGGTTTCCAGAATGGGAATTATAAAAGCTTCAAACAGATGAGCAAAGGGTTCCATTAATCTTTTAATACCAAATCTTTCATTAAGAGCACCAAAATCTCTTCCACACCTGCAGAAATCATAGTAGAACCTGCAGCTTTACAAACCCTCTTAAATCCTTCAGCCTGTTCAAAGGGTTTCCTAATGTTATGCTAAAGGTGGAGTTTATTTCAGTGCAAAACAATGGAGGAGAGCTCAGACCTTGATTGCAGACAGCAGTGCTTGGCTCAGATACTGTCAGATCCCAAACAAACTGTGCACAATGGATTTGTATTTGCATGGGAATAATTTGAAATACTTGATGAGCCACAGCTGAGGCCTCAGTTTTGAGTATTTAAGAAGGATTGAGGCCCAAGACTGGTTGTTTATAGAGAAGCCAGGGAGTGTCCCCATGTGGTTTGAGGGGTCACTGTCCCCTTTCTGCCAGTGTTTGGAATGGCTGTGGAGGGTGAAATTCTTACAGGTAGATTGCTCTGGGTACCTTTTGTGGTTTTTTGGAAGTTCAGTGTCTGTGGATCAGGTCAGACCCACCACTATTAAATCTTTCAGAGCCATGGAATATGCTGAGCTGGAAGGGACCCCTAAGGATCATCGAGTCCAACTCTTGACCCCCCAACAATCCCACCGTGTGCTTGAGAGTGTTGTCCAAAGACTCCTTGAGCTCTGGCAGGTTTGGGGCCGTGACCAGAGTTGTCTGACTGTCTGTGTTTCTCTTGTCTCCTGCAGGTCACCATGGAGTAACAAGTACGATCCTCCCCTGGAAGACGGTGCCATGCCATCTGCTCGCCTGCGCAAGCTGGAGGTGGAAGCCAACAATGCCTTTGACCAGTACAGAGACTTGTATGTCAGTTCTACCCTCCAGAGCCCTCTCTTTTCTTTATTTCCTTCAGCAGGGGTGCAGTGCACACCCAGAGTGTGGATTGTGGTCACTGCCCCAGTGTGTGGCCAAGACAGGAGTGTAGGCAGTGCTGGTGGGAGGTGTATCCACTGTGGTTTCACCATAGCCAAACATGAGCAAATCTCTTAGCTGATGCTGAGGTGCTTTCCTGCCTCCCTCCCCTCCTTGAACAGATTGATGGTGTCTTTGTCCTGGAATGACCTGTGTTCTCTTTGATCTTTAAGTTCAGTCTTAAACCATCTGCATTTTCCATTTCCTCAAGGCTGTACTCTCAAAAAATCTATATGGATAGCAGCAACTCTCACATCTTCCAGAGAAATGACAGGCACTGGTACACTGAGATGCAGCAATTGGACAGGGATTCATGTATTTCTGCTGCAGGATGCTTGTTTTAGGCCCTGTCTTGGTAAAGAGGTGTAAAACAAAGGAATCAGTAGAGCACATGGAAGATAAATGTAGATTGGGCAGTGGCTTTTTGAAAGCAGCAATAGGAAACTCTTTGGGTGACTTAGCAGTTGAACAATTTTTCTGAAAGATGGGATTGTGCTGGTCTTGCACTGCAGTTACATCCAAGGTCTGGAGATGTGCTGAAGTTTAGCTGTTGTCTGTGTAGACTGTGTTCTCCTGAGCAGTGATGGGGGTTGAAATAGGAATGCTAAATCTAAACAGCAAGTGAGTGTTGCAAAGCAAAATGAACTAGTAAGTGTCTCCAGTCCCAGGCTGCTTTCTTGTGGAGGTGCCTGATGGCTATGGAAAAGGTGAACAAACTTCATTGCTGCTTCATGTTGCCCAAAAATGGAGATAAAACACATCCTTAAATGTCATTCATCTTGTTACAGTGCTGACAAAGCACATGCAAAGGGACTTTTCTTGCTAGATTGTGTGGCTTGATGGCATTGCAGCCTGTCCAAACATAATCTTCACACTTCTGTTACAGGTATCAGATTTTTTCCTTCTTTTCATGCATTATTTTCGTCTGAACTGACTGGAAGAAAGGAATTTTGCATATTCAGCAGAGCCAAGTTTGCAGTTACTCCCCAGATGCAGAACAGACCCAGGACCCAATATACTTTTAATACCCTAAGATGAAAATGAGTAGGTTTATGGAACCAAGGTTGTCTTTTTAAATCCCTCTCTGCTCAGATGACTGTGAAGTCATGGCTGGATACAATAACTCCTTTAAAAAGGCTTTGTGTGCTTGAAGGAAAGTGCAGTGCAGGTTCCTGTGAGTGAGGTGAATCTGAGCCCTGCTCTGCATGGGGTGCAGCAGTTGTGTTAATATATTGTGTGGAAGGAAAAGGTGAGATTGTGTCAGATTTCATCTTTCAGTTTGTCAGTACAAGTTTTATAGGCAGGACATGGCTGGAAGGGATCTGGGAGGGATTCACTGTTGTATCAGCAGCCAGGAAGGAGGGAGGGAGTATGACTTGTGCATCAGAACAGATCATCACATCTGTCAGCACAGAGCTCATCACTGATCTCAAAAATGGGTGAGAAGAAGAGGAGGAGAAGAGTGACTTGTGTTTTGCTGAGTGGTGTAAAAACTGTGGCATTTATGGAAAGAATTTGCAAAGTTAGGGAAACTTAACCCCACTGTCTGTAGGGTTCCTCATGCCTGGAATTGGGAATGATTTGTACTTTACCTACAACAGAGATGTGGCTAGAACAGGCTTTTGTTCTCGGATTGGAGCTCTGCAGTTTCCTTGATAAGACAATTGGATTTTTGTGTTTTGACAGCAGAAGCTTGATTTTTACTTGGAGATCAGAGTGGGGGAATTCAGTGGGTAACAAGTGCCAACTTCTCCCAGTGCTGCTGCTGCTCCTGCCAACACATCAGGGTGGCAATGACTGCAGCAATGACTCGTGGAGCAGCTGCTGGAGCCACGTGGGAGTCTGAAGTGTGGGGAAGGCTGTAGTGGGAAGAAGATGGCAATGGCAGTGATGTCATCTCCGTGGTCTGCTGGAGCTGGGAACTAATCCCGTGAGCCCCCTGGAAAGCTGTGGGATGTGGATTTAAGGTTTCACTGCCCTGCTGGTCTGGCAGCTTGTGGGGATGGGAAAGGAGTGCACGAGGAATCAGTTCCAGGACAGTTATCAGTGTCATTCCCAATTCCAGAGCCAGTGACAGCAGAGGTTTTCCAGCATTGTGAAATATTTCAGGCTCATTTGAAAGCACTGATGGATTAATCAAAGGAGTAAGTAGCTGGCAGTCCTCAGGACTGAGTCTTTTGTGGAAATCATGGTTTCTGTTGGATGGGGAGATTTATTCTAGGCTCACCTTCCAGGAACAGTGATCAGTCTGTAGGCAAGGAGCAGAAAAGCTGAATTTTGGGTGGACTGCAGAGATTTTGATCATTTCTGTTCTTTCTGATGGGGTTGTCTGTCCAAACAGACCATTCACAGGTGCCACAAAGCTAATCAACACTTCACATGACAAACTTTCATAAAAAATAGGAGTTTCAGTGCTGTTGCACTTAGATTTTAAGCTTGTGTTGCAGATTAAGAGGGTCAGAATGATGCTGAGGAAGAAGTCTCAAATCTGACCCATCAGCTTCTCACCAGCTGTCCCTGAAGAGGCTGTTGTGTCCCTCTGTGGGGTAGGGAATGTTTCTGAGCTGCCCCTGCAACCACAGCCACACTGTTTTATGGGAGAGAGGTAACAGTGAACACAAACATACTCACAGAGAACACCAGAGCTCAGTGTGCTTGAATTTCCTCAGCTGGTAAGGCATTTTATTCCAGCCAGGAGAGTTTCTGCTAGGTTTTTCAAAGGTTTATATCCAGCCTTGCTGGGCTCAATGCTGTACCTTGTGCTTGCAGTGCTGTGGGCTGCCTGGCACAGAAAGATGTGGTTCTTAATACCCTGTGAGCACTTCATGGAGTCACAGAGTCAGGGAATGGTTTGGGTTGGAAGGACCTTAAAGCTCATCTCATTCCACCCCCTGCCATGGGCAGGGACACCTTCCACTAGCTCAGGTTGCTCCAAGCCCCATCCAACCTGACTAGAACTCTTCCAGGGATGGAGCAGCCACACCTTCTCTGGGCAACCTGTGCCAGTGCCTCAGCATCCTCCCAGGGAAGAATTCCTTCCCAGTATCCAATCTAAACCTCTTCTCTGTCAGTGTGAAGCCATTCCCTGTGTCCTGTCACTCCAGACCTTTGTAAGTAGTCTCTCTTCATCTTTCCTGTTGACTCCCTTCAGGTACTGGAAAGCACAATTAGGTCACCCCAAAGCTTCTCTTCTCCAGCCTCTCCTTACAGCAGAGGTGCTCTCAGAGGTTGCTCTGCATGGGGTTCACTCCTCAGCTTTCAAACACATCTTGTGCTGGTTATTCCAGCAGGGAGTGGAAGATGATGTTGCTTTTCTATAGATAGATAAGTACTTCTGAGAATATGTGCTATTCCCACTCTGCTCTCTCCATGTGGTCCAAACCTCCTCTGGATTATCTCCCATTTTACCTTTAAGCACAGTAAGTGCTGATATCTCCCGGAGTTCATCTTGGGCCTCTCCCAACACTTCAGATCACTTCAATTTTGCCTTGTGTCAGTCCCATTTGGCCCACACACCATTCCTTTTTAGATTTCTCTTTTAATCAGGTGTGGTAAGTACCCACCTACATCCAGTGAGTCACTGCATTGTCTTTGCCATTTCCCAAGGGATTGGCACCTGCTCTCGTGGGTGTTTTGAGGGAAACAGCCTGTTAGGCATTGGTTAACAGTTTGGGAGAAAGAATCCATCAGATTTGCTTTCTGGGGATGTTAGAGTTCAGTTTTGTCCCCCAAAGCTCAGTGGTCACTGCACTGAGTGGCTGTAGTGTGCAAACAAGTTTGGAGAAGTCTTGTAACATTGCATGGAGTTGTTTAAAATCATGAAAACTCCACAAGAACGATTTTGTTGAACCTTCAGTGCCTCTTAACCAGCGCTGAGTTGTTCTTAAGTGTCTGCTCTAATGCAAATTACCTTTACATATCTCTAGAGTTGCCCACTTTTGATTTCTGGAGGCATATTCCTGTCTCTTCAGGTTAAAGAGGAATTACACTAGGTTTAATTCCCCTCCCTGTTGTTCAACAACAAACATATTTCTTGGTTATCTGTTTTACCAAAATACATGTCACTTTCCCAAAAAACAACTGTTCCATTTTGATCTCCTGCTGCCAGGTTTGACTCAGACACTGCCTGTAGCTAATGCCCTGGTATGTTTTTGTTCAGGAGGTTATTATTCCCAGATGGAAGTCTAATATCTTACACCACTCAGCTAGAGCCTTGGCTTTCCACTGCCAATATCAGGAAGATAATTTCTTCCCACACATGGTTGTAATTTATCGCCCTTTGCTTGACGTGTGTGTGTGCTTGATTGAAATCAAAGTGTAATGAGGACCAGGGCAGCTGGGTAAATCCATCTCTTTTAGATTCTGCCTTCCCTTGTTTTGGGTTGGAGATAATCAGGGCTTTAATTAAGTCATCTAATGGCTCTTTGTTGTCTGGAAGAAATAATTCCTGAAGTGATTAAACAGACCTCCCTGGGGAAGGATGCTGCTGATCTGTCTACAAACAGGATGAGTTTTGGCAACTTTGGACTGGTTTGCTAAGCTGACATACATTTAGAAAGCTAGTCCTCCTTTTTTCCTTGGCTTAAATTGGATTTATTGGTGCTTTTGATTTTTAGCAACTTGAAAATAAAGATAAAACACTCATCTTAATCATTCTACTCCTGAAAATGTTTGTATTGATTAAGGTTTGGAGTTCCCTCCACAGAGTAAGCAATGAAGCCTTTTGAACTTCTCTCTGTGTTTTGATGTTGATCCATTTTCAGTTTGTTATATTAGAGCTCTGGACTAGGAATTTGGTAGGAGAGGAAGGAGGTCTGGGAGAGGATTGACCTCTGAAATGTCTTCATTGTGTGTAATCCTTTTATTATTGAATTTTGGATTGGAATCTACT